ATGTCAGTCTGTACCTGAGTCTCCTGCAGCCTCTCACCTGATGCAGTTGTCCGGGTCCTTGTCACAGTCGATGTTACACATGAACCTCTCCCAGTGCAGCCAGCCCATGGTGGGTGTCAGAGCCAGACCGTTGTCTAACGCCTCCGCTGCGGGTCTGATGAAAACCAGGAGCCGGAGCAGAAACAATACACAGATCATTTCTACCTGTAAACTCTTCACCGCTCAGAGAAACAAAGGCAAACACGCTTCCGCATCTACTTCCTGCTGTGTTCGGACCGCCCCCATGGGTGATTGACGCGGCTCTAAACCAATAAATGAAAAGTGCGTCTGTGACCGACCAATGAGAGTCCGGCCCGGAGTCAGTCAATGTAAACACGGAAGTGCCAAGCTTCACCTGTGATCAGCTGACAAACAGAAGTCACCTGACAAGATAATAATAATGTTACAGATGGAGACTCATGTGTGAACAGCTGCAGTGATGATGACAGCATTCATGTGTATTAGATACAAATTTGGTATTTTAAAATATATAAATATATCTTAAAGTACAATTTTACGACGTGTTTTAAGGCCACTTTGAAGTTATTATTCATGTAGTCATTAATCATGGTATAAAGTTAAAGTTTAAGTCATGGTAATACGAGAAAAAAGTTGTGATATTATGATGAAAACATTCCTAATATTATGAGAGTAAAGTTTTAGGCTAATATTATATATGAAGTTGTAACTTTATGAGGAAAAGTCGTAATATTACGAAAATCAAATCGTAAAATTTGAGAGCGAAACAAACACAGAAGGGACATTTCCTCCAAGTCCTTGTGCTTCTTTGGTCTGAATCGATCTAGTTTCTCACACAATCTTTCCAAAGTCCTGACACTTGAGATAACTTGGTGCTGATGTGCCAACAGATTCAGGATTTCACTATTTGAGAAACGTGTACTGAAGTATAGGTATTGTTATTATTTTATAACAATCAAATTCTTAAAACCACTGGTAGAATGCAACTACGTTCATTTACTCGACTACTTATGTACAATTTTAGGTACTTGGGTACTTCAGCTTCTAATTAATGATATTTTGTTCAGATCAAACACAGTCATTTGTTTTTTGCAGAAATTATCCCATTCATCAATGGGTTTCTTAATTTTGCTGTAAACAGACACCCTGCTTAAGAACCAAATTAATCCTGGACGTTTTTTCCCTCATGAAACTGTCAGAGTTCTTCTCACTCACACAGAGAGAGTGATGAGGTTTGTATTTATAATAATACTTTGCTCTTTTGTGGGGATTTAAGGAGACAGATGCAAATTGTTTCTTTGCTAATGAGATCTGCTCGTTGAGACTTTGAATGGAGGCACAAAGGAGATGAAACTTTACGGAGGAGACGTGACTAGAATGAGTTACATCTCCCTGTGATCTCGCTCCTGGTTTGTCTTTGCTGTGCGTGACGCCTCGTGTCCTGGAATTGAAATAAGTCAAACAGTGGAGACCTCAAGAGTTGGCACAAACCCAGATTAAATAATCCTCATCCCCACTGTCAAGGGCAAACTCCTCTTCTCAGACACTGGGCGGAGAGAGTGTGTGGATTTACTTTTGTTTCTTTTGTGGAACTAATGCTACGGAGCTACTTCAGAATTATTCCCTGTCATTAGTGAGTCCTCCTCTGACAGTTCTACACTATACTGTCACTTTTTATTGTTTTTGTGACGTTGTGTGCAGAACTATGTACAGTCTATGGTGCAGAGTGAAGTGAAAATGTTTGTGTTCATTCTACCTGGTTTATATGCAATGAAGATTTAAATGTTTTTCATAATATGAAACTGAATTTTCTGTATCACTGTCCACATGAGTGGTTTATATGTAAGTTTGAATGATTTACTGCAACCGACACAATGCTCAAGATCACAGTTTTTCAAAATAAAAGCTTTGTAATTCAGACTGTTTTAAATGACGCTGTTGTACCCAGTGCTGTTGTTTATCTGAGGTCATAGAGGAAGACGTGTTCAAGCACTAAATATATTAATAACAATACACATGCCAAGTGTGAAGCCCCATTAGATGAACGAACTATGAGATGTGCGTTCCATACACAGACAGGTAGACGTTTGTGAAATTAGTAAATAGATGAGCCATTGCTCTCAGTACAATGAATGCTGCCTCCACCCAAACAAGTATTAATTAAACACAGTAGAAATATTTCCCCCCCTTTGTACATTGAGAGGAGAACTGTTCCCTGACCCCCCTGTAGCAATTACATGCATGCCCACTGCAGGGTGTAAAACAAGGGACCATTAATAAACACAAAACCTGACCTTTCAGTGAAATGTCAACGGTGCCTATTTCAACCCTAAACATTTTCGGAGGCGTCACCCAGGGACAGGTGATACAAACTATTTATCACTCTCTGTGGTTCATATCAGTGTCAGTGAGGAATGGAGTTAACGCTCTAAATGTCAGATTTCAATTTGATTCACCCCCCTGCTGATGGATGGACCAATCCAGCCCTCTTGAATACATTGTTTTCTCTTTGTAAAAAAGCGGACCCCCAGCCACCCCCCACCCCCACCATCGTGATGGAGACCCCTTTTTTTCTTGTCTTCTGCATAAAAGAGCGGCGTGCCTCTTTATGTACAGTGCCTCATTGAGGTTTTTGACAGATGGGCAGTCCATGCTTTCTATCTGGTTTATTCCACCCTGAGCTTTGACACCAATCCATCATGTTCCTTCCTTCACCCGTGTCACATAATTGAAGAGACCGTCATGGTTGACTTATGTTGGAAACTTTGTTATGGAGCGCACAGGGGATAAGATGAAAGGAAAGCTGCGGCTTCGTGTCAAGGAGCTACTTTATTGCATTGATCTATGGGGACAGGTGGCAGAATGAGCAAATGTCATAAAAATATAGTTGTGCCTCAGGAAATGCAACAACAAACCCAGCAGGGCTCTGGTATACTCTCAATGTAAAATGATGTATTCTTGTGTAATTAGATTATTATCTTTAGATTGACTTCAGTGGACATTTATCAATTGACAGCAAAGACAGAAAAAAGGTCACCAGGTCCCCGCTGTAAGAGTGATATGCATCTTAAACAAACTGCCGCCAGCCGGGTCCATATTGTTAGAAATGTAATTTAATAATTATCATCAGATTTTTAATTTCTAATTACATCGTGAGCACTGACAATGAACAACCAGGTTGTACAGTGATTCAAAACTGATTTGCCGATATCTTTAATTAGATTCTCCATAGAAGGCAGTGTTTCATTCTCACAAGTAAAAATGTAATTAGAAAATCATAAATGTCGTGAGCGTATCTTAAATGTGGGAACCAGACCACTCAGTCGTATTCGAGTTCTCGGTGATTCCACCTCTCTCAGCTCATAAAAGGTAAACACAGTATTGATTGAGTGTCTGCTTCCCTGCAGCTTCCTTACAGATGTTTAGGTGCAGCACAGGGAGAAACTAGTTTTTTATCGATAAACATTCCTAATAAATGATTCACTGTCTCATCTCTAATGGCTTTAATTGATAGTAGCACCCCCGTTCTCTCTGGTTGTTTTTATATATACATATATTTTCTTTTAAGAGAATCCTTTATTAGTCCCACAGTTATTCTGTTATTCTTCTGAGAGAACAGAGGATCGGAGATTTTAGATACTGCGTCAAACATTTGTCACATTCTGTTCCCGGAAATTATGTAACTAATTATGATTTTACTCCACTGCCAATGTGGAAATGTCGTTCAATACTAGTCTCCTTTTGTGGTCACATCTGAAATAATATTACGAATGATCTCAGGAGCAGCTACCACAGTGAATTACAGAGTCTCAGCAGAGGGTACTTCACTGTGTTTTGACAAAATCTATTTTAATTGCTTAATCGACACATGATTCAATTCTCAGCCCTTAAAACTCAGGGAGTACACAAAGACTGACCTTCGCTCTGGCTGCTGGTACAAAAGCAGCATGGACCTGCCAGGACTGATTCTACCTCTGAGGACGCACATTCCTTACAATGATTAGATACAACAGTGTATTGTGGGCTATAGCTGGTAAACAAAGTGCATTGCAAAATCAATAACGAGCAAAGAGAGGCAGTACATTTCTGATGAAATCAATGATTTGTTTGGCTCAGCCTGCAGGACACTCACTGTGAGGATATTTTGTGGCTCTCGACTTGGCATCGGTTTCAGTCTTGTTCTGGGGCGTTTGTCATATCTGTGTCTATTTGAGTCAAAGCACATGGGTTGAGGACACTTCAAATACAATTTTGTTCAAAGTCTCATAAAAAGACTCCTTCATCTGCACCATACACTGTTCTACCACTAGGGGTCTCTCAATCAAAACAATGAAATATTGTGAAGAAGCGTTGGATCATGGGAGTTTGGCATCATCACAGTCAGGATTCCTTCAGTGTTTATATTGTTCAGGAGGTTTTTAATTGGGAGCTAAATGATTCACTGAGGTCTCCTCTTTTCCAAAACAAAAAGTGATTAAATCAAAATCACTGTTTCTTCAACACTGATTAGCCGACACAGCGTCAGAGGAGCTATGAGCGGAGCTGACACTAACGTTAGCTCAGCGTGTTTCTTTGTCAACATAAAATCCAGGCTTCCAACAACAATCTTTAATCCAGTAACAATATATAATTAAAAAAGACCAAGATCTAAATTACTTGGCCTAAAGCTGGATAAAAAGTTAATTTGACCTCTTCTGTCAGACAACCATGGGATATGATTTACCAGATTAATGTGAACCAGGAGATAATTGAATTATTTAGTCCAATACTGAGTAATTTTCTTTTTATTGTTATATTGATTGAGCAGTTATTGAATTTGTGGCTCTTAGAATTGCAACAGGGTTTCTTCCCCTGAGTTCTCTTCCTGTTTTATTTTGGAATGATGTTCCTTGTGTGTCTGTAGCTTTATTTCCTGCCTTTGTGATCTGCTCCTCATGTGTTTCACCTGTGTTCAATCATCCCTGTCTCCCCTGTGTATATAAGGCTCTGTGCTTGCCTTTGTCAGTTTGTTGTCTTTTGCTGTACATTGTGTTTCCTTCTGCTCTTGTCATGTTTCCACTGTCGTCTTGTTACCAGTGTTTCTAATGTTCTTTCAGTTTAGCCTTTTGCAGTCTTCTCTGGTTTCCAGTGTTTTTCTGTTTGTGGAATTTCTCTGAACTTTGTTGTTTAAACCTTGTTTTCTGTAAGTACCTTTGCTGTAATTATACTTTTCATTGACCTTCCTTCTGCATTTTGGGTCCACCTGCACACC